TCTAGAAGAGTCTGTGCGAGGCTCACTCCTTCCCTTTTCCTCAGGTGTCTCTCTGGACACGCCAGGCTGGGGCCACCTCTGAGCGCCCCGCATGGGCCATGGATGGCGAGACAGCAGAGGAGCAGGGGAGCCCTGCGCCCCCTCCGGTCCCCGGGGGGCGGCTGGAGCCCAAGAAGTATGCTGTGACCGATGACTACCAGTTGTCCAAGCAGGTGTTGGGCTTGGGCGTGAATGGCAAGGTGCTGGAGTGCTTCCATCGGAGCACCGGGCAGAAGTGTGCCATGAAGGTCAGTGACCGATCCCGAAGCCTGGGGCGATCAGGTGACATGCCTGTGGGTGCTGGCCATGTCCTGGGCCCCTGCTAGACTTCCTGCACTCAGCATCATGGTTCATCCTCATACTCTCCTGCAAGGTCAGGTCCCTGGCCCTCTCTGCTTTACACGTGGGGAAACTGAGGCTTGGGCTGGCCAAGCTCAGGGTGTCCCCATGAGAAGGGGTGGAGTCACATGCATAGTGCTGGATCTGGAAGTAAGGAGGGAGCGGCTCCTGGCTCTATGTGTTCAGGCCCAAGGGGCCTCGCTCAGCTTGGCTGTCCTTTCCTCAAGAACTCCTGACTGGGATGGGTCCGTGTTTCCTTCTGCCCGAGGCTGAGCCCCCACCATGCTTGGGATAGGGCTACGTCCTCCCTGGGGTTCCTGCCTCCCAGGCTGGCCAGTGGGCAAGGCTGATGCCCATCACACCTGTGGATGGGAGGCTGCTGGTGGGCCCCTGATGAGCCACTGGCCCCTTGTAGAAAAGAGCAGGCTGTTCTCCAAGCCTGAGCTGCCCTGGTTCCCTGCCACCATCTATGTACCCATGTCACACGAGAGGCTCCCTGGGGCGCTGGCCCACTGATAGAGGTAGAATCGGGAGGTTCGGGGGCTGATTTAGTCACCTAGCCCTGGCTTACAGCATATAGTTTTGGACCCAGGCCCCACCCCATACCCAGAATCCCTTGCATCTATACTCACCTGAAGCTTGTGCTAGTGGCCACCTGATGGGTAGAGCGTGGCAGGGAGGGAGGTTCCTGTTGCATAGCAGCTGCAGTTAGGAGCCCAGTGCGGCATCCTGCAAAGTGGCTCTAAGCTCTACCCTATGTTGGTCAGCTCTGTGAACTTGGACAATATCCTGGGCCTTTTTTTAATGGCTGATATCTAATGAGTGGCAAATATCATACTGGGCATGTCATGTAGTCTTCCTGAATGACTCTGCGGGGTAGATACAATGGATATCCCCACTTAATTGTCCTGGACCCTCGAAACTAAGTTTCGGCCTCTGTTCAGGGGGGTGAGATGAGGGTTCGATGTGAGTTAAAATGAGATTGCGTGTGCAGAGTGCTCAGTACAGGGCTGGGCACAGGCCTGGAGGGGCTGCGGTATTATTTATTCAGGGTTCAGGATTTGTAAGTGTGTCAGAACAGGCGCCAGCATCCGTGCTTTCTCTGGGACACTGTCCACTTTCTCTGTCCACAGAAGAGGTCATCCCCCCGGGGTGGCCTTGGAGTGGATCATGAGGTGACCGAGGGAGGACTGGGCTGGGTGATGGGGCTGGGCCATAAAGCTTTCAGGAGTGGAATGGGGGAGGGGGCATTCTGGAGCCCCAGGAAGGGGTTCTCTGAGTCCTTCAGGGAAAAGGTGCTCTTTTGAGGGTGGGTGAGGGTCAGGGGGTGAGCAGTGAGAGCGCACCCACCTCCCAGGGCTGTCAGCCCTTCCACCTGGGCTGGGGCTGACAGTCTGGGTGGGCAAAGGGCTGCCTGAGGCTGGAGAACCCCTTCCCGATTCCCAGGCTGTGGACCTGTGAGCCAGGACTGAGCCCTGCCCAGCCCCTGGCGTCCAGGTGGCGTGAGCGAGGAGGGCTAAGCGGGAGGTTGGAGCTGGTGGCCCAGGAAGCATCAACTTTAAGCAGGGCCAGGCCCTTTCCCCAGAGTGCTGTGTCTGACAGTGACTTGGGGGGACCTCTGACTTCAGTAACTTCCACAGTACCCTTGAATCTAGGGCCTCAGCACTCACGTTGTTCTATTCCGGGAACTGGGACAGGCCTGAAGTGGGTTCCCCTCAGTACCCCTCTAGGCTTTATGGGTGAGCCAGTGTCCCTGGCTGGGACACTGGCTGGGGACCTTTACGACCTCCCCCTAAATCGGCCTCGAGCAGGACATGGATTAGATGTGGCCTCACTTCAGCACCTTCCTGTCCTTGGCCTCCCCAGTGACCAAGCCTAGGAAGTCCCTACCCAGCCAGGCAGGCCCTCAGACCTCCCACCATGGGCCAGCACCACCTCTAGCCGAACTGCGGAGCTGGCGCTGTGCATGGCCGCTGTGGCCTTGTCCGGGAGATGTTTTCCCACGTACAGCTTCCGCCCTCGGCTCAGGAGGGCCAGGACCTGTGGATTAAGCACAGGAGCAGGCCCGGGTCCAGGGAGCTCAGCCAGCTCATGAGTGGGTTCGAATCCTCTCCCTGCCTCTGCCGGCTCTCTCCCCAGCTGGGCCTGCTCAGAGTAAGTGATGGTCACAGTCTCTGTGTCTGGTCCCCAGAGCTAGAGGTCAGGCTACCTCCTGGCCTGTCCTTGCCATGGCCTGAGCTCCTTCAGGCCATCTCTGCCCATCTCTCCATACCCGCCCTCTCGGCCCCATTTCCCAACGTGGGTCATGGTGCTTAACACGAAGCCTGGTGTGCAGTAGGCACTTGTAAAACAGGAAGCACTGTGGTCACTGTCGCTGTGGCTGTTGCTGTTCTGTGGGGACCCGAGAGGAGCAGCCGCCTTCCTCCCTGGGAGCTGGGCCTCTTCCCCTTTCCTCTAGCCCCTGACCACCCACTGGCCCATCTTGGCCTCGCTCACACACACGCACGGCTGTCCTTCTCTCATTGCACCCCAGGTTCTCACTGCTTTCCTCTCGGTGGGGACCGGAGGCGACCTGCCTCAGCCGAGGGCACGCAGGGCAGGCTGTCTTCCAGCACCTGTCCTTCCTGCTGGCCTCTTGCTTGCTTATCCCTGTTTCCCTCTGTTTCACCTCCAACTGGGCACAGCCCTGCAGGTTTGTCACCCTCCAGTCACCCCCTGTACCTAAGACCCAGCTTCTCATTCCTGAAAATCGGGTCCTGGGGTGAGTGGTCAGAAATTACACGGCTCGACTGGGGAGGGGTCAGCAGAGGCCAGAGTTCCCTCCCCCGAGACTTCCTGCTCACCCCCTCATCTGCTTCCAGGTGGGCAGAGGTGACCATGCCCTCACGACTTCCAAATGGGGCCTTGAGGAGACACTGCGGTCTGCACGGGGGAGGAGACTTCTTTCCTGCTTCTGCTGTCTGGGGGCCCTTCCCGTCTGGGCTCCCAAGTCTCCTCTCTTCCTCCCTTCTCTGTTGAGAAGAGCAGAGTGGTGGGGTGGTGGAGCTATGGGCCCCAGAGACCCCTGCAGGTTTGTCTGGTTGAGTCTCTGCAGCGAGCATCCTCTCTCTGGTCCCCAGGCTCTGGGGAGCCTGCCTGGGACAGTCCCCTTCCCCTTGGAGCCACGTGGCTGCCGTGAGCCAGGCTGCCCTGTGTGCTTTGTGCGTGGCTCAGTGAGGTTCCGAAGTGCAACACAGAAAAGGGCAGTTTCTTCTGACAGAGGGAGAGTAAGCTCTGGAGACCCCGCCTCAGCTCCTAGCAGGATTCGAGGACTCAACTGTACACATTTTAGCCTCTAAGTATGGCCTTTAACCTTTGAGGTCTCTCCAGACCAGCCTACCTGCCTTGTCTGTCCTAAAAACATCTTTCCTTCTGAGGAATCCCTTCTCATCTGTTACGATTCAGCCCTAATGCCTCCTCTTCCAGGAAGCTGTCTAGGGTTGCTGGCAGTATCTTTATTAGCCTCTAAAGCTATAATATCCCCCCTTTAAACTAACGCTCCACTGTAGCACCTTAGTCCAGGCCCTGGCATACCTTAAGGGCTCACAAATGCTTAAATTAACCGTATTCCTGCCCCTCTGAGCTTTAGAAGGAATACTGGGAGCTGGGGTGTTTCCACGTTTCTCCTCCACCTGGCTCTCTGGCCACAGTTCAGAGATAAGCCACAGAGAAGTCCTGTTTCTCTTGTGCCGAGGCTTGGGAATTCACAGTGGAAGTGAGGTGTTTCATTGCCCTCAGACAACCCTTGGGGAAGGCCTTGGGGAAAGGAGTGGCTGGCCCAGGGGGCCACCTCTCCCCTGCCTGCTGTCCAGGCCCCTCTGAGTAGTAGACAGGGCATCTCACCAACCAGAATGCCAAAGGAAGGCAGAATGGACTGAGTGCAAAACTGGGGGCATGGGCCCAGGTCCCAGTAACCCGGGTGCCTCACATGCCTGGTGACGGGACGGTGCCCAGCGCTCCTGGGTGGGGCTGGCCTGTCGGGGCTGGTGCTGCTGAGCTGGATCTGAGGCTGGGTGGGGCTGCCAGGAGCCAGGCCCCTTCTCACTTGGCAGCCGTCACTTCCTTACCTGTCGTCTCCAGACCGGTCAGGTCAGCCTGTGCAGGGCCGCTGGTTACTGAGTCCACAGGTCCAAAGGTATGCAGCAAGGTTGGTGACCCTGTGCAGCCAGGGCTCTGGAGACAGTTTCACTACACCCAGGCTGTCCCTTGCCCAGAAGAAGGAATCTGAGTGCTGGGGCCAGTGGGTGGCGTGGTGGTTAGAGTGCTGGACTCCCATGTGGCTGACCACAGTTCGAGTCCTGAACATGGTGGTGTGCTTTCCTACTTCCCCGACTCCCATCTCTCTGTCTCTTTCTGATGAGCGCATGTGCCTTATAGCAAATTTAAAAATAATAGTAACAATAAATAAAGTTTAAAAAGGATCTGAGTGCTACCTCGCTGATGGAGCCTTCTGAACTGCCAGCGGTAGATTGCTCTCATTTGACTGATTGTTTCATTTTCTAATTGTCACAGGGTGTATATACTTCCAAGAGACAGAGAGAAAGCACCCCATAATAGGGCGTGGTCACACTACAGTCCTTGCTCTGTTTCGTCAGGATTTGGGGCATGCTCACACACGTACATGTGTGTCTTTCATGCCATTAAAGCCAGGACTTGAACCATGGTTGGCCACGTGGGGTTCCGCTCTCTTAACCAGTAGGCTATGGGGCCAGCCCAATAATTTGCATTTTAAAATAAGCACCCTGGGCAGGAATTTAAACCCTATGAAATACAAATAGTGGAATTTTAGCTCAAGGTTGATTGTGTTGTGAGGCATCCTACCACGCCTGGCCGACCTTGCCCATAGCTCACAGCCTACATCAGGATCCCC